GATATTTATCTTGGGACTTTCAGGAGGGGATGGTTTCATGACTGCAAAAGCAAGGTGAGGGACAGAGAGCAGGAAAAAGACACAAGCTTCTCACTCTTTCCTTTGCCATCATTCTAACTATTATATTTTCCTATTTCTTATATTTCTTCTAATTTAATAACTTCTGTTAAGGATGGGTATGATGATTACCCAGAGCTGATTGCCACTCAACATGCACATGAATCAAGTATCACACTGGGGCTGAGGAGATGGTTTAGTCAGCCAAGTGCTTGCTGTGCGAGTGCATGAGGACCCGAATTTGGATTCCCACATAGAAAGCCTGTAGTGCTGGGGAAGTGCAAGCAAGATTCCTGGGGCTCCTTGGTCAGCTATTCTAGCTAATTCATGAGCTCCAGGGTCAGTGAGGGACCCTGTGTCAAAAAGCAAGGTAGGGGATCAATTGAGAAAAACAGTTGACATTGACCTTTGGCCCCTACACACATTCACTCATACAATGGGATGTCGAAGCATGCCTCACAGATATAAAAATATTCATTGCTAAGCTTCGCTGACAGCCTCTGAGAGCACTGGAGCTGGTACCTGTGTTTTCAGGAATCCTTTCCCGTGGACATCTAGCATGGGGTTGAATTGGCCAAACCCCACAGAAGCTTATTCTCCCCACTTTTCTGATTGCTCATTCTGGTTTCCCATTCTCCACCCGTTTTCGAGAAAGGGTTGTAAGAGGTGTCCTCACCTCCTCAGGAGGAAAGGGCTGGCTGCTCCCTTTCCAAGCAGTAGAAACACCTAGGTGAGTCAGGCCTGTACCTCAGATCTTAGTTAGGTTCACTAAGCATTATGCAGCCAGCCTTTCGATGCTTACTCAGCACTGTGTGTGAGAATCTGGGAAGCTGCTTTGTATTAAGTACTGGACTTTTATTTTTCTCTTGCTGTATTGTAACTAAGTTGCTGGATATGGCAGAATGAATTAAACTCTTTAATAAGAAAATAGGTTAATTGGATGATGTTCTGTTATTTTTAAAATATACAGTTTGACCCATTGGTTCTGGAAAGTAGCCTAGATGCTTGTCTTAAAGCAAATCTTAGTTATGGAATACAGACACACACAGCTTTGTCACAAGCGAATGCTAATTATTCGTCTTTGAAAAGGAACAGGCATCATCCAGTCTCCCTCACGCTCCCTGCTCCTCTCTACCCTCTACTGCAAGGGGAGCCTCTGTTCTCACTTCTGACAGAGTTGAATTTTACTCAATTTTGCACTTTATCATATAAGTGGCGTAGCACTTTATGCTTGTCTGTCTTATATGCTGGCCATTGAACCCAAGTCTATGTACCTTCTAGGCTTGTACCTATAGCTCTGCAACTGAGCTATATCCTAGCCCGTGCTATGCAATTATTTCTTTCTATAGATTCTTTTGCTAAAATATTCTCTAAGTATGATCTATGACATGGTTTTTAATGCATTCCCATGTAACAAATAGAGGTACTAAGTAAAGAAAAGCAAAACAACTTGGAGCCAATCAACAAGATTTTGTTGCCCACAGAGAGCTATTGTTAAGATTCTTGATTATTTCTTTCCAATCTTTAAAAATTTATTTTTATGTGTATGACTGTATGCCTGCAAGCGTTTGTGCACCAGGTGAGTGTGTGGTGCCTGTGGAATCCAGGAGAAGGGGCCAGATTCCCTGGAAATGGAGTTTGAGGAGATGTAAGTATCCATGCTAGAAATTAAAGCCCAGCCCTCTGAGGAGCAGCCAGTGCTCCTAACTGCTGACCCATTCTCCCGCCCTCCAGCCATTTATGTGAACTCTTTTAGAATATTCTGTAGCTAAGATGGATCAAGTTCATACTTTTGAATCCGGACTTAGCATTGTATTTTAGCAATGTCCTTCTCATAAGTGGCTTTGAAAACAAGTCATTTGAAAATGTTATGAATTGTGATTTTATAAATGACTCATGTGCTTGTCTCTTGCTCTAATGCAAAGCATTTAAACTGTTTTTCATTTTTCGCCAAAAAATGCAGTTCTTGACATTTGCTGTTTTTCTATACCCCTGATTATTTCCAGGGTGAGCTTCTGAGTATACAATGACTTGTCAAATATGTGAACATTATAGACAAACCAGGTAAACAGTTCCAAGAACGTTTTCAGGAATACTGTAATGGTTTGTACTCCCAACAGTGGTATGTGAGAGTGCCTCTGGATTACCTTTACAGTACTAGGGATTCCTATATTACTAACAAAGTTGGGTTGAATGGGGACCACTCAAGTTCCAAGTGAGGTTGAATATTCTCATGCCTATTTGCCTTTTGTATTCTGTTTTTGTTCCTCTTGTAAAAGCCAATTTATTTTCCTTGTCACATAGTGTGATCATCAACTATGGTGTAAATATCTGCATTATTTATTACTGTCCTTTCTCAGGATCTGTGTTTCTACCCAGAGATTGAAAGGGAGGTTTGGCCTATGGCACAAATAAGTAACTTCCAGGGGATGGAGGTGGCTTGATTTATTAGTAACAGATTGTAGCTGACACTGAAAGATGGGCTGATAATGATAAGTGATTCTAAAATCAGGCATTCAGATATTCCGACCACCCCAGCATGTCACAGAATTTTATTGATGTTTCCCATTTTCTTTTAAAATTTCACATTTAGTGAAAGGTTTCCTCTTAAATTAGGTCAATTGTTCTTGGTTACAGTTTTTTAATTTTCTTTTAAGTTTGCTACTAACTGAAGTATCCTCCATATCTTATGTCCTGGGACTGCAGAGAGCCAAGCTCAAACTTTAACAATATAGCAGAAGTTTGTCAATATTAAAGAGAAGCAATTCTCTTTAATATTCAAATACTTGCTGCTGAACTCACTAATGTTCCTTAGAAGCTTCTGTATCAAGAGACTTGACCATGTGTTTGAGCTGCTGGTTTTAAACCTCTAGATTACTCTATTTTGACATGTAAAAGTATGCTTTTTCTATGCCTCCTACATTTCCAGTCAAGTAGTTTACTCCATACTCGAGTATAAAAACCAAATCCAAAAATACAACAGTTGATAGACTTCAAGGCAAATGTTTAATAAGTAAATTCTGAAACTTGTATATGGCATGAGTTGTATTCTAGTTCCAGAACTCATGGATTTAAGAATCTTAAGAATTGTCCAATCAGAATCCTCAGTTAGATTTCCCTTTCTCCCTCCTTTTCTTTTCTTCCTCTCTTTACTTTCCCTGTTCCCCTCTCTTCCTTCTTTTCTTCTTTTCCCCTGCTTTTCCCCATCTTTCTTCTTATTAGCAGTTTTTGTAATTTTTATGTATAGTTATAGATGTTAAAGATAGATCAGTAAATAAAGTGTTTCACCCACGGAACTTTATTTCTAAAATTAGACTCATTAGAATACTTATAAGCAGCAAAATGCACTGCTTCTAAGTGTGTGTTTATGACTTCGGACTATCGATTCGGTCATGGAGTCACCATGACAGTCAGTTTTTGCTGTGTGTTTCCCATCACTTTGGAGAGCTCCTTTGCTCTCCTTTATAGTCACAGGCTCCGTCTCCTACCAGTCCCTGGCCAACCCTTGTGTGTGTTCTGTCTTTCCAAAATGCTAGGCAAAGGGAACCATTGGATTTTGTGACCTCAGACCTGGCTTCGTTCACTTAGAATGTTGTTTTGAGAGTCTGCATGTTGCCCTGTAGACTTAGACTTAGTTTTGTTTGTTTGTTTTTTAATTTAAGAGGAGAGAATTCCAATTATCTCTTCATCATTTCATGGCCATTTGAATTGTTTCCAGGTTTGGAGATTGTGAATAATGCTATTATAAACATTTATTTGTAGCCTGTTTGTGTGTAGTGGTGTGTGGGGGGGGAGGGGGAAGGTCTGTTTGAATTTCCTTGGAGCAAGCACTTGAGAGTGGAATCACTGGGTCCTTTATGAAATAGTTGTTTATAAGAGGCTGCGCCACGACTTTCCAAACCTACAACAGCAAATGAGAGTCCTGATTCTTGTGCATCTCTGTTAGCATTTGGTCAGTTTTAAGAATGGACTTAGCTTATATTTTCTTGGAAAACATCAGTTCTTTGCTCCACTTAGTTAATGCTATTGTTCCTCATTGTCTTGTGTTTCCTTTTAAATTAATAGAGACAGAGCCCATCAAATTACGATGACTAGAGGAGGCCTCTTGAATCATTCTCACCTGTGCCTGTACCGGAGGGGTCTTGTCTCTGGTGTTAAAGAAGATGATGTTGACAAACAGATAGGGGAGTGTGGCATTTCTTTTGCTATGACAGAAATGCCTTGATGGAAGAATGATTTATTTTGCTTCGTGGGTCAGGAAATAAAACCCACAACTGCAGGGAACACATGGAAGGGTGAACAGCCCACAGCTGCAGCGTGGGAGCTCAAGACACCGATGGCATTGCTGTTGGGGTCAGGGAGAAGAAAGATGGCCCCATGGGCTTGTTACGTGGGACCCCGCCCTGTGACCCAGTCTGCTGGCTAGAGTCTTGGTCCAAAATGTTCTACAGCCTTGCCAAACAGCTTTACCAGCTGGAGACCAATTGTTCAAACACATGATCTTGTGCGAGGGACTTTTCTCTTTTTTTTTTTTTTTTTTTTAAAGTAACAGTGAGGAAATGGATGAGAGAAAATTCTTAGTATGCTGGGAGAAAAGCCAGAGAATCTGGGACCTCATCAAGAAGAGCTTTGTTCCAGCATGACTAATCAGGACGGGCTGTTGGTAGGAACAAACAAGGGAAGTTTAGGGCTTACTCAATAATCCAGTCCTGGGACAACAGGGACCTGAACTGGGTTGTAGCATTAGTAAGCCTGGTTATGGTAAAAATTTTTAAAGGTAAAGGATTCCTTCCATTAATATCTGAATATTGATGTGAAGGTTCCTAAAGTGTTGACACAGTTAAATTTCACAATTTGATTAGAGGGATCCCAGTAGCACAATAAAGCATCTTTAATTTTTATTTTATTTACTTATTTTTAATTATTTTATGTGTATGTCTATTCAGGCATGTGCGTCTGAGCACTGTATGCATGCAGTGCCAATGGAGGCCAGAAGAGGGTGCTGGACCCCCTGCAATGAGAGTTACAAATGGCTATGAGGAACCCTTGGGATGCTGGGACTTGAACTCTAGTCCTCTGGTGGAGCAGCCAGTGCTCTTAACCACCGAGCCACATCTCCAGTGACACAGTAAGGCATTTTAAAAAAATCCTCATCTTGCTAATTTTTTGGACAGGCGATTCTCCAGGTTTCTTTGAGGACACTCCTCAACAGTATTGACATTTGACACACATGACCTCTTGGTGCAAACGGAGCTGCTCCTTTCTTAACCCCAGGCTGTCACTTCCTCTGATTTTCCTTCTGCTCTGGATCCTCGCCCAGTTCCATTTCGGCGTTTCCCCATCTCGAAGTGTCTAGTCTCTAGCCTGAACCTTGTTACCCATCCTCAGACCCGCATATCTGCTTTCTCAACTTCGATAGCTCCACAAACAGACTCCTGGTCTCTGCAACCCCAAACCCACGTTTCTGTGGTCTTCCACTATTCCAAGTGCTCAGGTTCCAAACTGAAAGTCTTCCTAGACTTTTCTTTTTCTCATATACTAGTTCCCATCCATCCTCACATGTTTGGTTTTGAGACAGTCTTATGATGAAGACCAGGCTGGTCTCAAATTCACACACACACACACACACCCCCCCACCCCCCCACCCAAAAAAAAAAAAAAAAAAAAAAAAAAAAAACCCACCTGTCCCTTGCTTCCAAGTGCTGAGAGTAGAGGCATCTGCCATCATTCCCACCCACCATATGTTTTTCTATTTATCTTCGAAAATCTAGATCCATGGATCAACTCATCAGCACCTCTTGGTTGTTTTCATCTCATCCTCTCAGATCCAATCTAACAGCGAATGAAATAAACAATTAGATGTTGTCATTGCACTGTTAAAAACACCTCAGTGGCTTCTCATCACATCCAGCATTAAAGTAAATGTTCTTAGAATTGACCAATGGCTAAAAGTCTACAGCGATCAACTCCTTGCTATTGCTCTGTCCCAGAACTAGTTACATGTGGTAGTGACCCCTTCCAAATACTTGAAACCCCATAATCAGTATTTTCATTATACATGCATACCAACTGCACATTTTCATATTTTCACTTAATAGAGATAGTTTATTACTTCCCTTTGCATCTCCTCATTGCCGGCATCACTAGCCTTATATTTCGGGACCATTATTAAATAAAATAAGAGTAGCTAGAGCAGAAGTGCTAAATGATCTCGCAACTGAGCTGGGTTAGGGGCTAATGAGTGGATAGCATATAGTGGATACACTGCACAATTCATAATTTACATCTCAGTAGGAAAGCGTGGGAGATTTCATCGTGCTTTTGAGATGGTTCATAATGGAAAACACACCTTGTATCTTTCTGAAAACTTCCATTTAATACTTCCTGGGCAGTGCTCGGGCGTGGGCAAGTGAATCTGACGAAAACAAAGCCAAAGATGAGGGAAACTACTGTGATTCTCATTGCTCATTGCAAAATGAAAAGGCAAATTCCTCGCTACAAGTATTATGTATTTAAAAGTGCTGAAAGTTCAGCATTAAAGAAAGCGCAGTGCTCTCATGAGCACAGGGACTCTATGACTCTTTGTCAGTGTAGCTGGCTCTGCTTGTACCTGCTCTTGGCATGCCCTTTCTCTGTCTTACTTTGTTTAAGTTATAAGGCTTTCTTTGGGTTTCTTAAATAAGCCGAGCATGTTCCAACCTCATGTTTTGCTTCCTCTGCTTAACTTTCTCTTCCTTACTGCACAACCCAGTTCCTCAGGTCTGTGCTCAAAAGTTCATGGGCTGGCACAGGGACACTGAGAAGGAACTCTTTGAGAGATAATACAATGAGGTTCAGTCCCAAATTTAGAACAAGTTTAGATTTTAGGGGTCTAATAAAGGTAATTACATACACAATCTCCAAGATAATAGAAGTTAAATTCTTCCCCAAACATGTGCAGTTCTTAGTTGAATGTATATGTACATTCAAAGTAGCAAGCACCATTAGATGGTAAGGCTGTGCACAGGAGTAGGGGGAATATATGGGAACTCACTAGTTTATAATTCTTATAGAATAGGGGTGACCTGATTCTCAGATACTCACTGGAGAAATGATTTGGAATACAATAATTAAATCAAGTGAAAAAACAAAGAAGAGAAAGAGAAAGCCTAGGGCTTTATCACATAGAAATGTTCATGCTTATGGGGACAGAGAGCTTGTAAACAAATGAATGGAATGAAATGAAACAATAGCACATCAATTCTAGTCAAGGGGTGTGGTTTTGAGTCTTTGCTGACACATTAGCTATGCCACGGATTCTCGAAGGCAATGGTTCTCAGGCTGAGGGTTGAAACCTTTTTGGGGTTCAGACAACCCTTTCACAGGGGTCACTTATCAGATATCCTGCATATCAGACATTTACATTATGATTCATAACAGTAGCAAAATTACAGTATGCAAGTAGCAGCAAAAATAAATTTATGGTTGAGGTCACCACAACATGAAGAACTACATTATAGGGTGGCCGCATTAGGAAGGTTGAGAACCACTGTTCTCAGACTTATTTGCCTCTGCTGTAACTGGGAACAACAGTAACAACTTTTCCCTGGGATTTTTGTGACCAATAGTTACTATAACCTAGGTAAAGCAACAGGGTGTATTGAACATAGTAAGTTCCGAATGGTTGTTATTTAGTATTTTTAAGACATTTATTTTTGTTCTATGTATTTGCTTTGCTTTTATGCATGCATGTGTATGTCATGGTTGCCTGGTGTCTGAGGAGGCCACAAGAGAGAAGTGGATCCCCTGGAGCTGGGGGTACTGATGGCTATGAGTCACTGTGTAGGTGCTGGAAACTGAACCCAGGTCTTCTGCAAGAGCAGCAAGTGCTTTTAACCTCTGAGCCATCTCTATCCCCAAGATTTTGTTCAGCATTTGTATAGCTTAGGGAGATAATATTTATCAGAAGATTCATGAAGACTACATGAAAAGACCTGCCCTCTTAGGTGGAAAAAGGATAAGAGCCAGAGGGAATAAGAACACCAAGAAAACACAGCCTTCTACATCAACAGAAGTGATGCACGTGTGGACTCACAGAGACTGAGGCAGCACCAGATGGGGTCCTGGAAATGAAAGGATAAGTAGACACATGTCCCCATCCCTAACCCAGAAACCATCTCCAATTGATATATCCACTTGCAAATGAAAATTTAGTTTCCTCCAAGGGAATCTTATTGGGGAAACAAAGTATTGTTAAGGGCAGGCTGGATGCCCAACCATAAATGACTGATAGGAAGCAAACTCAACAGCACATTTGGAAAGTCTTTGTCTCATACTGTCATGTCAGGACTTTTCCTTTTTAAAAAAATATTATTATTTAAATTTTATTTGTATTTTTCCTTCTCTCTTTTTACCCTACAAGTCCTTTAAATATGTATTATGGCTTCCAGTTGAGTGTTTCTATGGCATTTTTTAGTGTGGGTCTCTGTCTTTATCTGTGTCTTGAACTTCCTCTTGGTGCTCTTTTCCTTCTGTTTGTTTTGTTCTATTCTGATGTGTTAGTTTTTGTTTCATCTTATTGCATTTTATTTTGTTATTTTCCCTTAGAAACCTGTTTGTTTTCTCATGAGAGACTGAAAAGGGTGTGGATCTAAATAAAAGGGGAGGTGGTGAGGAACTGGGAGGAGTAGAGAAAGGAGAACCCTAATCAGGATACATTATATGAGAAAAAAATCTACTTTCAATGGGATGACTTTTTTAATGTCCTCTTTATTCATAGTCCCAAGTTTAGATACAACATCTCCAATTGCTTGTTGGAAGGATGTGACTGTTTAAGTTATATTTCTTTGTGGTTTGGCTCAGGGGAAGTTACTCAATGTAGCTTTTTTTATGCTGATCACTAAAGAAATTTCTGTTGTTACAAAGACATGAAAATTTCTGAATAACCTAAAACATCATTTGAAAACTGGACTCTCTGGCTATTGAGAGACCGCAGGTCTCTTTGTGTATACATCCTTTGTGTGTATAAAGGAATAGAAGGACTTTGGATTGGCAGCTGTCCAGACTCTAGGGAACAGACAGGAAAGGCAGCATCTTCTTCCCTTGACTTGAATCTACACAGTGGTTATGACTTTGTCTAAAATAGGAAGATGGCTAGTCTCTACTAATTTGGTATGGAACATATTTACGGAGGAATCTATTGTAAGACATCATATTTATTAAGAGAAAAAGTCTGCAAATGCCCCACTCCAACTCCCTCAGCTTTATCATCCCAGAAGATACAAGGTTAAGACTCTGTGTTACCCCAGCTATGCATGTCCCCACAAAGAGGTCCTTGCATTTGAACCCTAAGATGCTGGTTTCTATTCATGAGGTTTTTTCTTTTTTCTTTTTTTTTTTCAAAAGAGAAAGAATGCTCTTTAATTCAACTTTCCTCTTGGGACTCTCTGTGGTTTGGTAGAAGTGGCTAAGAAACATTTGGGTCACAAACTATGGCCACTGACAAAGCTTTAACTGGAGATAACTGTGTGAGTCTGTGTATTCATCAGGAATCTAGTGTATGCTAGTCAAATATTTGAAGGCACAGAATGCAGAATTATTATGGCTTCCTGGAGGCTCGTTTTGATCCCGAGCTCTGACTGGCTATGACAATTAGTGTCACTCTGTTTGCTAGATTTACAAGCATAGGGTTAAGAACATTTTCATATTGAAAGAAGAATCAGCTATGCCTTAGCTCATGATCCTAACAGGGTATTACTGAGCCATTATTAGAACTGAGCTTCAGAAGACAGCTCTGCCATTTTCCCACTGTGTGTGTCTAAGGGACTCACAAAGCCCTAAGCATGGGCAACTGTTGTTGGTTACTAGGATTGGAAAGTATGATTCGGGCAACCAGAAATTAATATTGTTGATTAGTTTCATTAGTTACTAGGTTGGTTAATAGCCCAGTTGTCATTAATAGCTCAATTAGTTGTTTAATTAATTAATTGTCATTGACTGCCTATTTCATAAATACTGGTTCTCCATTCTTGATTTCTTCATTATAAAAACAGATCTTTGCTCTTTAAATCTCAGTATCCCAATTCTCCTAAGCACAATTTCAGCACATTAAGAATTGACCCAATTCATGGAGCAAAATCTCTAGTTTTCTAACCCCTGGTTATTAAAATAGTTGCACTTTTTCAGGTACCCCTCAAGGCTTGAGTCTAAGGTGTTTCTTGGAGGTCTTTGCTCACTTTCATTAACTTTTTTTCTTTTATTCTTGTGGAAGTAAAGGTGACATTTATATTTGCCTATGAACGGCTTTATAGTTGCCCTGGTAACAGAATAGATATTATTAAACTTATTGGGAAATACTTCCTTCTTCTAAACTCTAGCTATAGTCTTATAATAATATATTAGCATATTGGATGGTACCTTCACAGTCACCATTCTTAGAAGAGAGAACTAGGTAACACAGCCATAATGTTATTTATTCTATTTATTATAATTTAACTGTGTATGAGGGAGTGAGGGTGAGCACATATGTACCAAACATGAGACCCATATGTTTAACTACAAATCCCCCAAAACATGTTTGTTTAGAGACAATCTTCATATATATATATATATATATATATATATATATATATATATATATATATATATGACAAATATATGTAACATATGATATAGCATACACACATAAATATATATCAGAAAACAGAAGTAGATATGGAGCAAATGGAGTGACATGACATGAGATACATTGTCTAGAAAATAAGAAAGATCCTGTAGCCAAGCACAGAAGTACACACACAGAGAGAAGTTGTAGGTAGAAAAGAGTAACAATTTCATTGTCTTGACCTATGAAGGAAGAGGCCATAATTTCCTATGATGAAGATGGAAAGAATCCAATTATAACTGGAAATACTAAAAGAAGTCAACTAGATTTCATTTTCCTTTGTCTCATAGGTTATTGGTTTAACGATCTGCTGATAAGGCTCAAAAAGACCCAGAAAGGACAAGGAAGTGCACCCAGCCTGCATCTGTGTTGCTGTTTGGGAGACCAGGAAGGGACAGAGAGTGACAAATATCCCTTGGTGTGACCGCCACAGTACCAGTTGAGGATGACATGAGCTGAGACAGAAGGGCCTGTGAACCTCTGTGGCAGCCCACTCAAAACTCTTAGAAATGAAGCTGTCAAAATAAACAGTCCTGATTTAAAACACCATCATCTTTTTGTGTTGTCATCACACAGTTAGAAGTGGCTTCCCGAAGAACTTGTGGTCACAAATCCAGTTGCACAGTAACACAATTTATACAAGGTGGTTACAATGCCCTCCATTTTGGTCAGGGGTTTGTATGCACAAATCTACTAAGCTGCTTTCTTTGTTCCCCCCTTTCCCTTAATTTGATCTGAAGTCTCTCTGGCTTGGAAGGAATAGTAGTGGCGAAGGAAATGAATGGGAGTCCCACAGCCAGTGAGAAAAAGGAGGGGATTAAACTTAGCGCCATTTAGAGGCCATCGGCCATGCACATGCACATACATACATACATACATACACACATACATACATACACACACAGACATACACACACACACACACCACAAACAACCCAAGAAAAAAAGGCATTGTGTGTAACCTCCATGTCTTGTTGCCATCCAAGGGAGAGAACTTTGGAGAGGAGGAAAAAAGAAAAGACTTTTTTTCCCAGTAGGGCAGAGTATCCAAGCAAAGGACTTACATACCTGAGGCAAGATAAAAAGGCAAAGTCTACAGACTGAATGCTCCAAAAAGGAATCTTAGCCCAAAGTAACTGGCAGGTGTTAGAATAACTGACTTGAATCAAGAGACAGAATGGCCACTTGTTCTGTTCTCAGAGGAATCTCTTTAATGTTTAACCCATGTTGGATGCCAAACTTGTCACTTATAAATCAGGATTCCATTTTATTGATCTCTAGTAATGTTAATAAAAGAATTTCTAAAAATGAACTCAGAAGGGAGCTTGAGAACCGTTTTGCAAGAGTTTGAGAGAAAACAGCTGCTATCTCATTAGCTGCTAGGGGTAAGAGGGACACAGGGATCCCCCTGGGAAGGAAAATTAGATGAGATCTCCCGGGTAAACTGGGGGTGAGGTGGGAAGTAAAGAGGAGGGGAAGGGAAGAGGATGAGAACATGACGGAACGGGATGGTGGGGGGCAGAGTAGAAGAACAATGAAAGAGAGGTTAGTGAGAAACCTGGTCCTAGGAAAATTCCCAAGAATCCCCAGGGATAACCTCAGCTAAGACTCCTAGCAATAGTGGAGAGGGTGCCCAAACTGGCCTACCCCTGTCATCAGATTGGTGAATACCCCACCTGTCATCATAGAGTCTTCATCCAGTAATTGATGGAGCCAGATGTAGAGATGCACAAACAAGCAGCAGGCTGAGCTCTGGGAATCCAGTCAAAGAGAGGGAGGAAGGAATATATGAGCAAGGCAGGGGTTGGGGTTGGGTCAAGATCATGATAAAGAAATCTACAGAGATAGCTGAACTTGTGGAAACTCATGAACTCTAGACTGACAGCTATGGAGCCTCCATTGGACCAAATTAGGCCCTCTGTATGTGAGAGACAGTTGTGTAGGTTGGTCTATTTGAGGGGCCCCTGGCAGTATAACCAGGATCTGTCCCTGGTGCATGAACTAGCTTGTTGGAGCCCATTCCCTGTGGTGGGATGCCATGCTCAGCCTTAACTCAGTGGGGAGGGACTTGGTCCTGCCCCAACTTAATGTGTCAGACTTTGTTGACTCCTCATGGGAGCCCTTACCATGGGAAGAGTGGATGGGAGGTGGGCTAGGAGGCAAGAGCGGGGCAGAAGGAGGGGTAGGAGGGAGAACTGTGGTTAGAATGGAAAATGAAATTAAAAATAATTAATTAATAAATTTAAAAAGCCCAGTAATCAACTGCCAGATAAAAGGCAAGTAAACTATGGTACATTTTCCCAATGAATGGCATTTCACATGGGGAATGAACTATATGCAACACAAGTGTATTTTAGGAATAAAAATTGAATGAATGTGTCAAAGCCAAGAAGATAACACAAGTTTTCTCCATTGAGCTAGCAATAGAAACAGTTAAATAGCTTGGTACAATTTGTACAATTGTAGTTCACCCACACTAATGTGAACCAAAAAACACAAGGAAACCATGAACACGAAATCCGGGAAACCTATTCCCTCTGAGGGAAAATAAAACTAGAACTGCAGGCAGTGGCAATCAAGTTGACAGAAAATGTATTGCTTTATGAATTTATGGGCTTGTGGATGATAATTTCATTATGTAAAGCTTTTATATACAAATTATAGAAAGTTGAAGAACAGCTGATCTGGAATGTTGAGAGTGTTATGACATTCAAATTAAGTGTGCTTGTAAATGTTCCTTATAAGAATGTTCCTTACAATAGAGAGGCAGCCTTTCCCTAAATAGAGAGGTTGCTCTGAAAGTCCTGAGTGAAAATAGCCAGAAGTAGCTGCATGAAGGATGTGTGTAGAATCAGGAGATGAAAGTGCCCAATTCCCTGGGGCTGTGAGGCTGGGATCTTGACAAGCATTAAGAAAAAACATATTCAGTGACATTTGTTAAAGTCAATCATATCAACTTTATTCTGGGCCACTGTGATAGATTATAGGGATCATTGATGTTGTCTTGCAGTGAGGGCAAGATACTGAGTATATCCCTGAGTCCAGCATGGGTAAGTGGAGACTTATTTCCACGCAGCAGGATGTGGTTGAGTGGGAAGAATTATCTAAGAGGAAGCTTTGAGGAGAAAGACAAAGTCTGTCTAAATTTCACCATTTTTTTTTTCCTGAGGACAGGACTGAGTCACCAGATGTCCCAGGGTTGGGAAAGGGTGAGTGAAAGATGAGGAGGTGGGGTAAGAGATGCTCCTATTGACTGGATATTGAAGGTTGGGAGTTCCTGCTAATTTGACTGCTAAATTGCTGAAACTGGATTTCATATATAAATGAAGGGATGGGCCTAGTGACATAACTAAGTATGGCCAAGCAATGTGTCTATATCACAAAGAAATTTACAGATGAAAGAACAAAATTGAGGAAAATAAACATAAATATTGGCCTCATTTAATAAGGGGTATTCATTAAATAGCAAAAGCTGTGTGAACTTCAAGACAAGGTAACTGAACTATCTAGTAAAAATATTTCTGATAAAAATCTTGGCCAATGTGAAATACGAGATACAGAAAAGATCCCCTGCCCAATAATAGTCATAACACATCCAAAGGTTCATACTTACCCATTTTTAAAAAAAAAAACAAACAAAAACCGATTTCCTATTAAGTTAGCATATTGGCCTGAATTCTAGCTGCCCCTTTGAGTTTCAGTTCCCTGTGAACTCCTGTGCTGCAGTTAGGTTGTCCTCTCAAAACTCATGTGGAAACTCAGGTGCACCTTTGCCAGTGTCCAGAGGTGAGCCTTAAGAAGCACAAAGGAAGAGAGGGCTCCACCCTCAGCCCTCAGGAATGTATTTATGAGGCCCTTCTGAGAGTGAACTGGTTATTTCTGGAGTGGACTACTTACTAGTTCTAATGAATTTTGTCCTTTCCACCCCTTTGCCAGACAAGTCTTGTTCTTGGACTTCTCAGCTTCCAGAAGAACAGGCTCAGTCTGTGTTAGTCTGTTATAGCAGTAGCAAATGGATGAAAAGAACTGGGGAGACATGTAGCATGTCAGCTTCATGACCAAGAGGCTCGGAGTTTGATCTACAGAATCCATGTAAAAAGCTGGGTGTGGTAGCATATGCTTGCAGTCTCAGCAATGGGGATGGGTCCAGGGTCCCTACGACTCACTGGTCCCCCAGCTTAGCAGAACCAGCAAGCTTCAGATCCCAATAAGAGACCCTATCTCAAAAGACAAGGTGCTTTGGAGCAGTTACTGTTCTTTCAGAGGACATGAGTTTGGTTCCTACACTTGATCTCAGCCAAAAGGCTGAGAATTGATGACGAGTTTTGTTCCTAAAACCCACACTGGGTGGGTCACTGCTGCCATTAATTCCACCTCTAAGAGATCTATCTAGTGGCCAGTTCTGACCTCTATTGATACCCACTCACTCACAAAGACACACATGCACACTTACACATAAAAGAAAATAATAAAAATGAATCCTAAAAAAGAAAACAAGTAGAGTAGCTATCTTGAGAAATAACATCTGTACTAAGCAAGAAGAGTCACCTGAAGGAACCCTGGTTCCCTTCTGTGCTGTCTCTGCAATGCAGTTCCAAATATCCTAACTAAGACTATTCCAACTGTCATCTGTTTCCTTTCACTGTGACATTTCTGGGCTCAGTGATGACCATGAGTATTTATTTACCATCTTCTGAGAGGCTGGGATCCTACCTGCCTCTTTATATACTCTGCACATGGTGGGTGCTTAGTCGATGTTTGTGAACTGATCTGGACTGACTCACTACCAGGCTTATAATGAAGTTCCATTATGATGAACAATTATGTTTGTAAGATTTAAATATAAAAAATAATACACTAGAATAGCTAACTATAGTTATTACACAATAAGTACTTAGTAAATGACCAGGAAACAAATAGTAATTGGGTAACCAGGAAGGACAGGCTGCCTAACCCTTCTGCAGAATTATTTCTTAGTACTGTGGAGGCAATATTCTTATTCAAGGAAAGAAAAGATTACTGGAGGTCAGTTGTGATTAAATCTTTTAATACATTTCATTGTTTCTTGAGATTTTTCATTTTAAAAATATTTTGTCTTAATTTGGACCAACCGTTGGTGAGTTTTTTGAAGTTGATTGCAGAAGTTTTGGTTGTGTAACAAAACTTTCTCATCCTGTTTTAACAAAAGTCTACTTGGCTCAGCCAGCGAGATGACTCACCCAGTGGGTAATAGTACATTCTACCAAGCCTGGCCGACCTGAGTTCAATCCCCAACATTCACACTATAGAGATAGAAAACTGAATCCTAGCTGTCCAAAAACTGCCCCTGACACATGATACATGTAAAAAGTTCCTTTTAAAACCATTTTGTGTCTCTTTGATATTCCAGGCAGAGAAAGGAGTAGTGCTACCTTGGGTAAAGTTTTATTTTTCCCCTCCTTATAAGGATGGGATACATTTCCTTCAATTTGGCTACATGACCATCTGGCACTTTAAATTTGTGTGTATAGTCTCAGTTAACAACAGGGAATATTTGTATTGAATATTTG